CAACCTTGACCTTCCTCCTCTGCTTCATATGCCTCTACCCCCCCCCCCTCATCTAGTCAGTGTGTCTTCGTCTGCATATCCTACTTTCAGCATGCTTGATGTAGATCGCGATTGCTCTTCTGGTTTATGCGTGTATTATGTTCATATCCCCTATATCCAGACCCCACGTAGCCGTTCTGACATTTTGCTATTCTTATATATATATCTATATTTGTTCTTCTACGTCCTTGCCTACGTACCCTCGCTTCCCTATTATCCCTCCTTTTTATCTTATGTCTGCTATCTACTAATGGTGTTTGCCCTATGTTTGGTATACATATACTGATATTAATATTTTTTTTTTTTTGTTTTTATAAGTATATATATATATATATATATATATATATATATATATATATATATATATATAGTAGTATCATATATATATACATAATATGATGAACAAACACGACGAAAAACAATAAACAAAAACAAAAACAACAAAACCAAACAACAAAACAAGATCCTTATGTTTTGCAATTTTTATTAATAATAATATTGTCTAATAATTGGATTATTTACTGAATGCTGGTATTGGGCCTTGTACATACGAGTAGAATCTTACATTACTGAGTCGCTTTCCCTCCCGAAACATCTTTAATCTGGGACCCTCTGTAAAGATAATAATAATAATAATAATAATAATAATAATAATAATAATAATAATAAAAAATAATAATAATAATAATAACAATAATAATAATAATAATAATAATAATAATAATAATAATAATAATAATAATAATAATAATAATAATAATAATAATTTATTATTATGTCGCTGTATCTCTTATTTCACAAAAGGCAGTACTTTCATAGGGATATTCACGTCTAACCAAATCTCGGTATTTAACAATAAGTCTTGGAAGCAAGCTAACATTTCATGACATCATTAGGATGGGGAACGAATTTTATGTACAGACAATTTTGTGTTGTTGGACAATTTTGGGACAATGGGTGAACTCAATAATTCACAATATTATGGAAGAAAAGAGAAAATTTCGTCGAGAAATTGTTTTCATAAGGGGACTGAAATAAAACAAACACTGTAATAATTTATTACGTACACCTGCTTTGCAATACTATATTCTCTTTTAGTTTTAGGTGCCACTGAAGTACGATCCTTAAAGATTCAGTTGCAAACCATACGAAAAATATCAAAGTAAAATCAATCAAACATCGTTTAAAAATAAAGAAGAACTTCTTTGTTGCTTTTTGTTTTGTTTTGTTTTTATAAGCATCCGAAACAAAATTTTAAAGACCATTTAACCAGTGTGACGCTGGAGGTCAAAAATGAATGTTAGGCATGACGCCATGTCATTGTGGTACCAGGACCTTCCGATATTCCACTCGCTTCGAAAGGCGAAGGTCCCCGGTTCAAATGCATTTGCATTTGGGCGCTCCACTATTAACATGTTTTTTTTTTGCCTGTCATCCAAAGACTTTTAAAACTCTTTCCACCTAACAATAGATAAAACAAATTAATATCAGCATTTAAAGAGTTCGGTTCTCTGTTAATAGTTGTGTTAGTTCTGAGTGAAAAGGTTCCGTGTCCAACATCGCATTATTACAAAGGAAAACTTTTATTTCTTGTACTATGTTCTCAAAGGACAGGCATAATATACGCACTCTCCCCCTTCCTCCCCCCCCCCCCCCCCCCCCCCCTCTCTCTCTCTCTCTCTCTCTCTCTCTCTCTCTCTCTCTCTTTCTCTCTCTCTCTCTGTCTCTCTCTGTGCCCTCTCTCTCTCTCTCTCTCTCTCTCGCGTGGCGTGTCTCTCTCTCTCTCTCTCTCTCTCTCTCTCTCTCTGTGTGTGTGTGTGTGTGTGTGTGTGTGTGTGTGTGTGTGTGTGTGTGTGTCTGTCTGTCTGTCTGTCAGTCAGCCCCCCCCCCCTCTCTCTCTCTCTCTCTCTCTCTCTCTCTCTCTCTC